CGTCAGTAGATGTTTAACCTTCTGTCTTTTCCTAATATCAGTGCCCGAGTAAGAGCTACCAATTCTGCCTTTGAGCAGAGAGGTTCCTGGGGAAAGAGCTTTAGCCTCAAAGACCTTTTGTGAGCTGACAACTACATAAACTGCCTTTTGATGTCCTTCTGAGACAAAGTGACTTCCATCAGCAAACCGCACCTCCTCAGGGTTTTGGAGGGGCAGGTAGGTCACTGATGTCTGTCTGCTTGCATAAGTCTGGGAAATCACTTGCTCACCAGAGTGGCGGTAGTGAAAGTTTTTATAATAACCTCAGGGCTAAGAGCATAGCTTGATACTTGGTAAGCTTCTCCTGTTAAGCACAAGTAACCTTTTGTCTCTAGAATAGTTTTGACCTGATGCGAAGTCAGAACATCTAGCCTCTGTCGCAAAGTTAACTTTGTAGCGTCTGTTACTACAGCTGTAGCTACTATTGTTCTCTGGCAGGGTGGCCATCCAGCAGCCTCGGGATCTGATTTCTTTGAAAAGTATACCACTGGGCAGGATTCTTGTCCTAGCATTTGGGTCAGAATCCCCAAAGCAATTCTTCCCTTTTCTGATACAAAGAGAAAGAAGGGTTTGATTTTTTTGTTTGGATTGGTTGCTGTTATTTGTTTGTTTTTAAGTCAGATATTCTCAGTGCTGGAGCCTGAGTAAAGGTATGTCTTATTTTTTTTAAAGTCATTGTCAATCACTTTTGTCTATTCTAAAGGTACAGACTCAGGGCCTTTTACTGCTTCATATAAGGGTTTTGCCATTAGTCAAAAATAAGTAGCCAGATCCTACAAAAGCCTGCCATTCGTAGGAAGGTTTTTCCAGGTGTTAAGAGTATATCCTAAATATTGAACTCTTGGAGGGATATTGAGCATTTTCTTTGGAAACTCTCTGTCCCTTCTTAGCTAGAAAGGTAAGAGTTTGTACAGTGTTATGGTTAGTTCTTGAGTTGGGCTGCAAACTAGAATGTCATCTACGTACTATAGGATGGGTCTTTCTTCTAGCTTTAGGTTCCTCAAGTCTTTTTCTAGTGCCAGAGCAAAAAGGTGAGGACTGTCTCTAAACCCCTGCAGGAGAACTTTCCAAATATACTGCTGTTTCGCTCTTGTAATGAGATTTTCCCATTGAAAGGCAAACAGAAACAGAGTCTGGATGTAGGGGGATGGAGAAGAATGTGTTTTTAAAATCTAAGACTGAGAAGCAATTAGTATGCCCTGGATTTGGGGGAGAGAACTTTGTTTGACCCTGCCACTAAAGGCTGGATTGGAAGGGCAGCCTTGTTAATGAGGTGAAGGAACGGGAGAATGGGAGTACTGCAAGGGGACTGACAAGGGTTCAAAAGGCCATATTTGAGAAACTTGTCTATGAGAGGCTGGAGGCTTTTACATGCCTCTTCCTTGCTTGGGAAGTCAGGTGGAGTCTTTTAGTATTATAATTACTGGCATAGCTGAATTTGTCCGACCAGGTATTCCGTTGTACCATGCAATATGATTTACCTGTTGGCTAATTTGTTCAGGGAGAGCTGGTGTAGTCCCAGCGAGTAAAATCCACTTTGGTTTTAGCTGAAATTTGAGAATTGCCCTCAGTTTTGTTAATAAATCTCTTCCTAGCAAGGGAGCAGGACATCGTGGGACAATTAGAAATTCATGGTTAAACATTTGACCTTCCAAGTGACATATTAGAGGAGTTAAGACGCCAGCTTGTGACTATGGACCTAGAGGAGAGTTTTCTAGAGAAGGAAATCAGAATGAGCTGCCCCTGCATCTGTAAGCAGTTGAATTGGCTCAGCCATGACATCGAGGTTTATGCAGGGCTCTGTGGAGTAGACGGTGATATGTGTGGACAGGGCCACTGTATGGGCCCTTCAGTCAGAGCAGGAAATGAGGTTTTGGCTGCCCTAGCCCCTCTCTGGGAGCGGGGAGAGTCTAAACCTCCAGTACCAAGATCCGGGTGCATTAACTGCCTCATGTGGGGAACAGGGCCCAGGCGGAGGCTTGGTGCATTCTCATGCCCAGTGTCAAGTCTTCTTATGCTTGAAATAGAAACCCTTTCCTTGGATGTCCCTGAGTTTTTTCTTAGGCAACCTGGATGGGTTTAAAGCATTACCAATTGCAACAGCTATGATCTTAGCCTTTCTCTTTTGTCTCTCCTCCGGGTCCCAATTGAACACAGAAAAGGCCAGCAATTGGGTCACAGGTGTCTGAGGCCCCATCTGAAGTTTTTGTGGCTTAGGCTGGATATCTGGGGCTAACAGATGAAATGTCACATTAGTGCCTCTCCCTCCCTAGAAGATGGATGTATCTTTGTATACTTATGGAAAACCTCTGCTAATCAGTTACAAGACAAAGCTAGATTTTTCTCTGTGCCCAGTCACTTTATTATAATTAACAAACTTTTTATCCCCATGAATAGGGGCAGCTAGCATACTAGACATCATTTCTGGTCTATGCTGAGAATTAAGGTTCTAGTTTGGCTCTATTGAAGGAAGAATAGCTGTTTCTTTCCCTTTTTAAGGCATATTGCTCATCTGCATAGATTTTAGCCTCTTGCAGGATTCTTTGCTTTTCATGTGGATATAACAAGTGGCTAAGATATACTGGATATCTCGCCGCGATAAACAAAGAGCAAGGGCCAAAGTTTGAAACTCACCTACAAACTTACTAGCATCTACTGACAGCCTAGTTGTTCTTGCACTGAAAAAGACATCTGCAACTGAAAAAGGTACCTGCACTCAAGTATTTCCTTCCATTCCTGGGACTTCTTAGGGACAGGACAAGTTGTGCACCACAGTAGTGGGAAGCACCACTTTGGGTTCGATCTTCAAGGCTTAATAGTTGTCACCCAGTGGGACTTAGGGCTTCCTGAGGAGGTTGCTGAGGGAGCTGAGGAATGTTGAGTTTCTTTGGGGCATCAGGCTCTTATAGAGTCCCTTGGTTACTTGGAAAGGATGGACCTGAATTTACTAGACTGAGGGGCATAAGGGGGAGGGGTCAAGGAGACCTCCTAGTTGGTTATCCTTTCTAAATATTATCAGCAAGACTGAAACCCCACTGGGAGACAAATGGAGGTCTTAGAGCAGGGTCATCCAGGACATCTTTGTCTTCCTCAGGGCCCACATTAAGTACCATACTTCTTGAACCTTCCCTTTGATAGTTACCAAAGTCTCAACTGAACATAAGGCATTTCACTCCACCTTTCGTATTTTAAGCAAAAGTACTGTAACTAGAGATAGTCTCATTGTCTCAAGTACTATCCTGTACTTATCTTTTGCCACCTCCCAGTTTATATTAACCCCATACTATATTACAATAGTAGATAAGCTGTTTTTTTTAAAAAATAATGTCAGGATCAACCCTGTTGCACTCATCAAGGATATGACCTACTGTTGAGGTTGGTGGGATCTGTGCAGTGACAAGATCCAACAGGTTCCGCATTACCTCAGCTTGAGTCCTATAGAGAAAGTAGACAAGTAGCCCTGCACTCCTTAAGGTGGTATCCCAGGCATAAGGAGGAGACCCAAGAGTTTTACAAAGCACTCCTTGTGAGACCCTAACTAGACAGATGTCTGAGTGATGCCAACATCATTAAGCACAGAAAAAAGCCCCCCTCCAGAGGCTTTTGTCTCTATATTTGAACCCATTCACTCATTAGGGAGAAGGAGGTGAAGCCGCTTGTTGGCTTTACCTCATCCTTTAACTCTCATGAAGTAATGACTGGACTTCCCCAGGCAAAGTTCTCTTAGCCACCTAGTTGGACCCCTTAATGGTCCACCTTGCGTTTTGAATCCCCTGATAACTCTACTTGTATTTTGAACCCTTTGATGGCTCCACTGACATTTTGAGGCCCTTGATGAATGTGTTTAATCAGAGTGAAACCATATGGGAAAATATCTGTTATATTTACTCTGATAGAGTACTAAGAATTGGGATGGCTCTGTTTTTCTATACTCGCAGTTGCTTTTTTTATTGAGTTTATTGGTAGATTTTAGGTATACAGTACAGTTACATTCATTGTTGGGATCTTGTACCTCTACAGGACAGGTCTTGGTTCTCATTTTTTCCCCTTGTCCCTGCCCTCCCTTCACCCCCTCCTCCCCTCCCCATTTGCAGTTGCTTTAGTTAGGTCTTAAAATGTTAAATGTTGTTCTATTCAGGCATCAAGTATAGGGCTTTAACTTCTCTGCATTTAAACAGGGAAGCATGAAATCCAGGAGAGGACCTCAGGCAGGATCTCAGAGCAGTGTTGCTGGTGCTCAGTTCTGGCCAAAAGCCATGGGCATTTTAACACAGTTAATTTTTTTTTTCCTCTTGTGTTTGCATCAGTCTCCTGGAGGTGGGTAGGATGGGCACGCCCTCCCCGGGATGGGAGCAGATCTCTGGGGGTGCCTGCAGGCCTGTGTTTGCCCTGCCCTAAGCACCTTCCTTTGCCCAGCTTTGGCTCTCCGTTGTAGCTCCGCCCTGCAACGGTTTTCTCATTCTTAAAGGGATGGTCCTTTGGTTGTAGCTCTGCCTGATCAACGGTTTAACAACTTCTTAAAGGGATAGTCCTCACCCTCGCCCCCCAGCAGTTTTCCACCTCCTTGAAGAAATAGTACACAGTTTTTCTTTCAAAAGAAAAAGGTTCCTCTTTATGGTTTCCCATAAGCTCATGTTGTCTTATCAGAGGCTTAGCTTGTAAGGCCAGTTATTGAATCACAAAGGAAAAAAAAGACAGAGGAAAGAGAAAGAAAAAAGAAAGAAAAGATGGAGGCAGATGCGGGCCCACCTCACAGTATGACAAAGATAAGATGGCCGCACCCAACCGGAGCTAAACGGAGAAGCAGCTGTCAGTAAACTCCAGGAAGGAGACCAGGCTAATTTAAAAAACAAACAAAAAAGGTAGCAAACAAATGCAACACAAAGCAAGAAAAAAAATCCATTTATAAAACCTGAGTAAGCAGGAGACCGGGTTAATTTCCAAAAAGAATAACAAAGTAACAAAACAAACTGGGAAAGAGACCAGGTTTATTTCAGAGCACAGTAAACAAACGTAGGGAAAACAAGGCATACCCGCAGAGTAGCAGGCAAGTGGCTACAAAAAAAAAAAAAAAAAAAAAAAAAAAAAAAAAAAAAAAAAAAAAACCAAAAAAAGCCTACATTCTCTTCCCTGTCCTCCATGGCTAAAGCACCAAACAGTTCCCTGACTCCCTGGAGAACTTTATCCAGGCTTAGGGAATAAACTGAGGGAGAGAAGGAGAAGAGAAACAAAAATTGTGCCTAATGTGTAAATATCATATAGTTTCTCTGGTGTGATGAACTAAAAGTGTAAATAAGGATCAAAGTGTATAATTGTTATTGTGTGATAGGAAGAAAATGTCTAAAGGTGCAGGGGAAGTGGGAGAGGTAGGAGAAAGGTAAGAAGGGAAAATAATAAAAGAAAAGGAAAAAATGGAAACAAGTCGTTGTAAATAAGGAAGCGGGGAGGGCATGAAAGGAGGGCAGGGGAATGGGGAAAAAATAAGAACCAAGATAGATTATGTAAAGGTACAGGATCCCAGTGATCAATGTAACTGTATCATATGCCTAAAATGTTGTGGTTTTTTTTTTCCCTGCTTGCCATGGCAAAATGTTGCCTCTTGGCTGGCTTTGTGTTGTCAAGAAGTTCCCTTAGAAACGGCTCGCCAGGCTTACACAGTACGGCTGGTGACATCAGCTTGCACTCGCTCCACTCTCTCTGACTGGAAAGCAGCGGATGACAAGAGACTGAACTGTACCTGCCCCTATTTCCAAACAGACTCATGTTCAACTTCGCTCATACAAAAAGTCTGGGAAAATTGTATTAATCCTTTTTTAATAAAAAGTTAATATAAAATTGTAGCCTAAACAGGAACCTGAACTTTACAGCAACACAACTGGAACAATCCGCAGTGGTGGGAGCAGTGGCAGGAGAAGAGATTTAATTTAGTGGATTTTCTGTGGCTGTTGGTTGCTTGCCAGTCTCACAGTGATGCAAGGTGCACATTTTTTCAAAGGGACGGAGAAGCTGCTGGAGATTTGGTTCTCCCATCAGCAACCTGATACCAATCAGGGATCTGGGGATCTTTGAACTATCCTGAGATTTGACTGGGATGTACTTTTGAAAGATGTGCAATGTTCAATCATAAGTGTGACAAAAACTGACAAGCAGGAGGCTTATATACTCAGTAACAGTAGCACGTTTATCTCCAAGAGACGTTTCATTTGGAAGACGTGGTACCACCCTCTTACTGAAAGCACTGTTTCCTTTGTTGAAGCTTGCTAGGGATCATAGTGGGTTTGACTTTATTCAAAGCTTCTTTCATTCTCATTATCAGAATTTCATGAGGCCTTCTCACCAAGGGTACCCACACCAGAATTTCCAGGAACAAACAGAGTTTCTTAATGCAATTTTCCAAAAAGGAACAGCATATCCCACAGGGCATATGAATTCTGACTGTTGGTACTTGTATACTCTGCATTTCCCAGAGAATCGAGTAATCAGTCAGCCAGATCAGACCCTGGAAATTCTGATGAGTGAGCTGGACCCAGGAGTTACGGACCAGTTCCACATGAAAGATGGTGTTACTGCAAAGGACGTCACTCATGAGAGTGGAATTCATGACCTGATATTAGGTTCTGTCATTGAAGCCACACTGCTCAATCCTAGTGGGTATTCAATGAATGGTACTGTACCAAGGTTGTTTTTTTGTTTTTGTTTTGTTTTTTTGGTACTGGGGATTGAACCCAGGCCCTTGCACTTACAAGGCAGGTGGCAGAACCACTGAGCTAAATCTCCGGCCCTAGACGGAAGGTTTTAAACATCTTGTTTGCCAGACTATTATGTTCAATGATTACAATTTTGTTTTTACCAGTTTTGCTAAACAGCAGCAACGACAGCAGAGTTACTTAAGAAAATTGAAGAAAAAATGCAAAAAGATAACAAGGTGGTGGCTGCTTTCTAGATGTTGACACTGAAAGGAACCAGCGCCTGCCAAAGACCACTCACAGCATGGACAGAGCTTGCATGAGAGAATTTATTAAAGAGCTGTGGTGGCACAGTGGCCGCTCGGGGCGGAAAGGGAACAAAGGAGAAGGGGAGAGTGGGAAAGGGCTTGGTTATATAGTGGGTGACTGGTGTAGGCGGGGCCAGGAACGTGTCAGCTGCACGGGCAGCCATCAGGGGCCACTCTTGGACATTTACTACGACCCGTGACGCGTGAATGGAATGGAAACTACGGTGAAGAGGAAGTTCTTTATCAGAATGGCGGCAGCCATTCCAAGGCACTTATCTTACAGACACCAGGGGCCACCTTGTAGTTGCAGAAAGCCCTAGATGTAATGATAGTGTAATCACTTTGAAGAGTATGCATTGTTATATCAAATAGTTAGACATCTTGTGTGAATGCTGTCTTCTGTGTTTAGGTATTCTGTGCCACTCTTGCCGTGAAATTGAAGTGCATGTAGAAAAAAAACTTTTCCTGTATGAAACTTTTCAATAGTTGTGAAAATAATTCAATTTAGTTTATGCACAGTGTAATATTTCTTCAGGTATCATCCAAGATTCCCCACCCACAAGGCTTTCATCCTCATTAGGGGATGGCCCCTGCCTAATAATCTGGGATGTTTCTATTAAATTGCTGCCAGAATTTTACATCCAGTTACCTCCACTTCCTAGAACATATTCTCTAGTAATATTATTGAAACCAATCTCTACTTCATAAAAATATTTTTGCAACAGCGATTAAAGTTTTTCTTCCATGAGTCAAGTCCTCCTAAGAAAACGATTCCAGTTACTCACTTTGTGCATTACTGTTAATAATAATTTTTCCTGCATTTGTAGTCTTTGATCTCTTCCCTCACCATGGTGTCTTTCCCCTACCTCCAGGCCCCTAAATGAAAGCGATACACTGTGAAAAAAAAGAAAAGGGAGGGAGGGAGAGAGAGAGAGAGAGAGAGAGAGAGAGAAAGAGAGAAAGAGTTGTCAAACAAAAGTATTCCAGGTCCTTGTCTCAGAGAATTGGTCAAGATCACATAGTGCCAAAAGTTTACTTGAAAATGAGGGATAAAGGGATAAAGGAAGAACTAACTCTACAGAGCAAATTTAGGCCAAACACAGAAAAGAATAAAAGGTATACCCCATGTCTAGGAGAGGCAGGTAGGCTATCCTGAGGAGTGAGGATAGTGAGCTTCTGGTGGAATCTGGTCTCTTTTATGCTGACCACATCTCCTGGGAGCTTTGGAGAAGTTCTACATACAGTCCTGAGAGTTATCTGGTGGCCTTGGGGACTTGACATTTACAAGTTCTGCCCACTTCTCCAACTGCCCTGGGATCTTGTAAATGACAGGTCCTGCTTATTTCCCCAGCCAGCTTTGCCACACCCTACCACCTATATCATTGCTTAGCTTGGAATCAAATATTTCTGGAGAATTTGGTTTGGACAGCTTTGATTCTCAGTTTGTGAATGAACATGTCCCCCTCACTCCAGGTGATGATGAAATTGTGATGAAGACTGATCAGTCTGAATTTGAGGGTTTTGAGTAGTTTATCAGTCCTCTTTTCGTATCTGCAGAAGAATGGGTCTGATCCTCATTTGTCAACTATGTGTCCTGATGAGGTGGCCATTCAATGCGTGGATAAACTTGTTACCATCCTGGATACCATTAACTATCTCATAATTGTCTGGAAGTTAATTTTAATTTCTTTTTTGTAGTTAGATTTCAATGTAATACTTGATTGATTTTTATACTCTTTAATAGAGGATATTGGAGTTTTTTTTATAGATAGTTGCTTTTTGTGATTTGACTTAAATAACAAGGAGGCACTGACTTGTTAACCAAACTTGAAAACACATTCCTTCTATTTATTTATGGAGATAGAATATGTAGTATTTTTCCTTATTATTTACTATATAGGAAAATAACTTGTCTTTTAGGTAGAATGTTTTAACTCTGTCTGTTTCTCTTCAAACCACATTTTCTATACTTGTGGGCTCAGTTTAGGGAGTCTTCAGTGAAACCCAAAAAATAATAATTTTGAATAAATGTACAGAAAACACAGACACCGTCTATTATATAATAATGGCGAACTGCGCCAGGGGGATGCAGGCACATTTTTCTGGGTCTTAAACTTCTGAAACAATAAAGCAATCAAAGCAGCAGTAGGTTTTGATGTAGCAGAGGGAAAAGTACAGGCCTCTGGCCTGGAATACCCATGTGTACAAGCAGGAGTATGTATCTCCTTTCCACTTCACCTAATGACGTACATTGTATGTAATTCCTCAGCTTACTTTTTTTCACTGCAAGCATTTCCTGTCCCCTTAGGTGTTCTCCTGGCACAGAAACACTATGTCTGTTTGACCATCCCACTGCTGACAATGAATCTTGTCAACCAGGTTTTCACTGTTACAACAATCCTGCAGTGAACGTCTTTCAGAACCCTGGAGAAATCCATCTGAATGTTCACAGACAGATGAATAGAGTACGGTATATGCACAATGGAAAACCATTCAGCCATAAAAAGGAGTGAAATCCTGTCCCTTTTGATCGCATGGATGAGCCTACAAGATGTTGTGCTAATTGAAATAAGCCAGGCATGGACAATAACCTCATGTTCTCACTCATATGTAGAGGATAAGTTGCTCACATAGAAGTAGAAAGCAGTCATTTCCAGAAGCTATGAAGGGTGCAGGGGAGGGGGTAGAGCAAGTTTGGTTTTCAGGAACAAAAGTTAAAGAACAGCAAGTTCTAGTGCTCTATAGTGCAGTAGGGTGACTGTACTTAACAGTAATTATTGGATATTTCCAAATAGCTCAAATAAATGATTTTGAATGTTCCCAACATGAAGAAATAATAGATAAACTAAACAATTTGATTTTATCTTTACAAATTGTATTCATGCATCAAAATATACCCATGGGCAATTATTATCTATCAACTAAAAATAAAAAAAAATTGAAATTCCAGAGTAAGGGCATAGCATAGCATTGACGAGACATATGTCGTCATTGTCAGCACTGGCCAGTCAACAGGCATCAGTGAATGACTGAAATTCCTAAGCTTCATGCTCCTGGGCTCCACAGCACACAGTCAAACACCAGTGGCTGAATAATCCTGAGTTGCCCCCATGATGCCTTCTCTTATTTCAAGGCATTGAGTAGAAAAATTCAAGATATGCCAAGAAGGAATAGGCAAAAAAAAAAACAAACAAAAAAACCAAAAAACCCAGGTTCTCAGGTAGGAATCCAGAGAGCCATGCCCTAGGGCTATTGTCAAACCTGAGGAGAGACCAGCCTTGCTTGTGAGAAGTGAACCCCAGCTCAAGCTGGCTCACCCCCATGGGATTAAGATGTTCTTCCTGCACCCTAGCCTCCTCTTCCTCCTAGAGGAAGCAGTGACCATTATCTAGAGCATTGATGTTCAGCGTCCAGTGGAATTTTCATCAGATGCATCAAGAAATTGAACCAAAAGAAAAAGTGAACCATAGAGGCAGACCCACAGATGACCCCAATATTGGAATTATCATGTGGGCTTTGAAAACATTATGATAAATATGTTCGAGGAAAAAAGAGGAGTGATAATTTTCACTGGAGAATTGACATTATTTGTAGAGATCAGTTGGAAATTCTGAAACTGAAAAGTATGGCTGAAATGAAAATTTAGTAGGCAGTTTTAACAGGAAGACACAACAGCAGAGAAGATTAATGGTAGTTCAGCAGAAAATACTCAGGCTACAGGATAAAAAGAAAAAAAGTGCAGAAATAATGTATAATAAAACAATGTAGCAAAAAGGTCAAGGTGCACTTGAGTACCAGAAAGTGAAGAAAGAGATAAAAGAGGAAGATGGTATTTGAAGGAGAAGAGCAAGGATTTTCTAAAGCTGGTAAAATATCACATGAGATAGCAAAAGTAGTAAAAACTAAGAAAATACAATGAAAACCATACCTCTTCACATCCATGGTAAAACTATTAAAAAACAAAGACAAAGAGAAACCCACTAAAAGTGTACATGATGTTCCCCAGTTAAGACCTTGGGGAACATTAAGTCTGTGATCCCTTCCTAAAGGACATGCTGCATAGCAGTCTACAGCCAAACAGAGATAACAGGAAATACTTCAGCCCAAGGACTTCTTTAAAGGACAGCCTTAAAGAGTCTTAACCACAAAACTGAGAAGGAACTGAGGTGGGCACAGAGTAGCAACAGGACTTGGATGTCACATATCCTGACCACACAGACCCAACAGACTGACAAGGGTAGGATGGGGAAGGAGGAGGACTCAACACCTAATAGCTGGGAATAGGAAGACAAGAGGTTGACAATTCAGATTACAAAACTGGAAGAGAGCAAAGGCAAGCAATTAAAAAGCTAATTCTGAGGAGGGAAAAGTCTATCTGTGGTTGCCAAGGTACAGTTAGACAGGAAGCTTTGTGGACCACTGCCCAGGAGGGTGGCCACACATGTACCATGTGCTTCAAGAAGAAAGAAGAAATGATGTTTGAGGAGACAGATATGTTCACCCTGATTTAAATATTATACAGTTATACATGTATCAAAACATTACAGGGTACCTTGTTCATGTGTACGGTTTATATTTTTATGTATCTGTTCAAGTGAATTTAAAAAAAGAAAGTGCTAGTGATCAAAATTAGGTGGCTGAAGAGAAAAAGAACAAGTTAGAATAAAGGGAAAAATACGAGTGAAATTAAATAAATATTAAATAAAATGAATACATTTATCTAAATTTTCTGCTTCCAAGGTCAAAAAAGATAGACCAAAAAGTCCAGTAGAAATCGTGGATAAAGGATATTAGCAGAGAGTTCACATAAAAGGAAATACAAATGGATTCTGAACATATGAAAGATGTACGCTTCATTTGTTACAAGAAATGAAAATTAAAACTAACCCAAGAGTTAGTAGGGCATATGGATTTTTCAAATCTCAAAAGTGATACAGAATATTTGCACATCTCACAATACATAAATTTTAAAGAACTACCGGCAAATACTGAATTCTAGTTACAGAGATACATACTGAAGTGACTTTGAAATGTACTGTAAGAAAATAAGTCAGGTGTGATGGGCCACACCTGTAATCCCAGCACTCTGGGAGGCTGAGGCAGGAGGATCAAAAGTTCAAGCCCAGCCTGGGCAATTTAGGAACTTAGCGAGACCCTAACTCAAAGTAAAATATAAACAGTAAACAAAAGACTAGAATGTATCTCTATGTGAAGAAGGCTCTAGGTTCAATCCCCAGTACCATATGGGGAAAAAAATAAGGGTGATAGGTGGATAAATATGAATAAATGAAAAATATAACAATTGCCAGTCTCAGTGATGAATATATGTGTCTGCTATCTGTACAAGACTTTCACCTTTTCTGTTTGAGGAAAATGTTCAATAAAATGATAAGAAAAAAATCTCTAGAAAACATTTTCCCCCAAATTGGCAAAAATATAAAAGCCCAATAACTGTTTTCAAGGCTGTAGGTTAGCATACCCCATCTCAACCTTTGCTAGTAGAAGGAAGCTTACTCGGGTGAATACAACTTCTAAGAATACTAATAATCAGAATTAAAGTGCATTTATCCTTTGACATCATCTAAACAAATTTACTCTACCGACATATAAGAAGAAGACATAGGAACAAGAATATGTGTATATCACTGTATGATAAAAGATTGGAAATCATTTTTTCATACAAGAAAGGTTAAATGGACTATGTTATATCCACACTGCAGAATCCATGCAGCCATCACAGAGAAAGAGGCAGCCTTCTTTTTGGGGTTTTCTGTTTTTTTTTTTCGGTACTGGGGATCGAACTCAGGTCCTTGTGCTTGCAAGGCAGGCAGCAAAACCACTGAGCTAAATCCCCAGCCCGAGGCAGCCTTCTATTTATCAATCTAAGATCATTTCCAAGATGTAATAAGGAACAAAGTAACATGCAGGACATTTTGTATAACAGGCTTACATTTATATGAAAACATATAAACACATATAGTTTCCTCCATGAGCATAGTCTAACCCAGGTAAGAAGGACATCTAAAGGCCTGATCAGTGGTTGACTCTGGAGCTGAACTGGGTCATGGGGTTAGGGAAAGTTTAAAAACTGCACTGTTCTCTTTGTACTTTTTGAGTTTTGAACTGTGCATAAGTATTCTTTATGCAACAAATTTCAATTTAATCCTCAAAAACTTAATAGCAGAATCACCAACCCAGCAACCCCACTTCCCAGTATAGACTCAAAAGACCTGAAAGTGGGGATTCAAGAGATACTTGTACCCCAGAGTTGATGGTATTTTAACCCCAGTGGGGTGGGAACAGCTCTGCCACACAATGACAGATGAATGGATGAACAGAACATTACCCATTTACACAAAGGAATATTCAGCCTTGACAATGAAGGAAATTCTCACCATGCCACAACTTAGAAGACCCTTGAGAACACTGTGCCAAGTGAAATAAGGCCGTCACAAAAGGACTGAGGCTGAATGATTCCATTGGTATGATGTCTCAGTTACTTTTCTTGTTGTGGAGACAAAATCCCTGACACTCAAAGGAGAGAAGGTTTTTTTCAGCTCACAGTCTGTGGAGGCTCAAGCCTATAAGTCAACTGGATCCATGGTGACATGGCAGAGGAGAAACAGTCCATGGCAAGACAGGCAGGAAGCAGTGAGCAGCAGTTGCACCCTGCCTTCTCTATTCCTTTGTATTCCATCCAGGTAATAAGCCTATTGATTGGTTCTAAGAACACCTAGGGTGGAACTCCCATTATCCAGACCCAGAACTATGCTAATTCCAATCAGTGGACTAATTTAGTACCACAGACTCTTAATCCCAGTATCACAGCCCCAGATCCAGCCAGCTCCAAAGAGCCCCACTTCTGAGTGCATGAGGCCTGGAGGGCACATCTAGATACACACTGTAACCTACCAGATACCCAGGGTAGTCAAATTCACATAGTTGGGAAAGCAGAATAGGGGTTGCTAAGGCTGGGGATGGCGAGAATGGAAACTTACTGATTAATCATACAGTGCTTCAATGTGAGCTGATGGAAAAGTCCCAGAGATAGATGGTAAGGATGTACCTAATACCAATGGAACTGCATACTTAGAAACTCAAGAGACTAAATGTTATGTTGTATGTATTTTGCTATAATCTTTCTATATTTAGAAAAAAGAAGGAAAGAAAAACCAGCATTGGCAACACAGTGTGCCACTCCCACCTGCCCAGGGAGCAGCTGCTCTGCTGCCCTTCCAGCCAGCACAAGACACAGCCAAGATCACTGGAAATAACAAACCCTTCTGTTTCAGCCCTGCCAGCCGTGCTGCTCCCTCTGGGAAGGCCACACTGTGTCCATCGGCTCCTGGCTGTGATGTCTGGCCACCTTCCCTCCCTCCCAGAGCCGCCCGACCCGGGGTCCTTATGAAGTGGTGACTGCTCCAGCCAGCAGGTCAGTGTCCCTGGGAGCAAGGAGGACAGAGCAAGATCTGAGAAGGGAAGCATAGTTGCCTCTGGTTGTGGCTGTTCCAGACCCAGCGGGCCAGTGTCTATGCAGAAACTCTTGCAAAGCTTGAGGAAAGGGGATCCCCACTTTGCCTTCCACCAGAGCCCTAGTGTTTGGGATCTGGATAAATCACTTCCCTGCTCTGGGACTCAAGTTTCCATATTTGTAGATAGCTGGCTAATTGCTTCCAGGCTGTTGTGAATTTCCACAATAAACTGGAAACAGCAGCATGGTGTGGCACAGACTCAGTGAAGATGGGGATGGCTGTGTGGGACTCTCCCTGGAGTCTGGCCAGGCTGTAGGAAGCTGACCTCCAGTCCCACTGTCCCCGGGGACTGTGGCTGGGCTGGATCGTGGCTGGTAGGGTGGATTGCACTATCCCTCTCCTCCTGTGAAGCCAAGTCACTGAGTCCCCCAGGATGAATGAGAGCCAGTAGGGCCACCAGTCATAGTGAGCAGGGTGGGGCTGCTGATGGTCCCCACCAGCCTCGCCTCATCCCAGCAGCTGTGAGGCTCAGGAGGGAAAGGGGATGCAGGTGCTTGGTCCCCAGCCCTTCAGACTGTGGACCCCTTCAGTCCACTTACACATTGGGCTCAGCACTCACATTCACCTACATAAGAGAGGGACTGGACAGCCCAGCTGAGTGGACAGCATGGCCTTGTTCTCATAAAAGTGGTGACCTGAGACACATTCCTGGGATCCCTGTCACCTCACCTCCTGTTCCTACTCCCCCAGCAAACCCAAGCTGTGGGCTGTGCATGTGGGTCCCAGGAGGAACCCCCCCCAACTCCCTATGTGGTGGCCTGAGTGGAAGCTGTCACCCCAGGGAACAGACAAGTGGCTGTGACACCCTCCTGCCACCACAGCTCCCCACAGGAGTAGAAGATGGTACTTGGCCAGCCGGACCCCGAAGAGAAGCCCACGGCTGCTGCCGCACAATGGGAGAGCCCACGCCCGAGCCTGCCTTTGTCGACGTGGACAAGGGTCTGACTCTGGCTTGCTTCGTCTTCCTCTGCCTCTTCCTGGTCGTGATGATCATCCGCTGCGCCAAGGTCATCATGGACCCCTACAGCGCCATCCCCACATCCACATGGGAGGAGCAGCACCTGGATGACTGAGGCCCTGGTGTTGCCTGACCTGGTCCCCAGCTCAGCCCACTGAGGCCAGGGATGGTGTGGGTTCATCTCAGCCCTGCTGGCTGTCACACTTAGGGGATTCCATGGTGCTGGAGATGTGGCCACCTGGGGACAAAGGGCACTGATCCCAGACTCAGCGGGCTGGGCTGCAGCCCAGGCAGGCACCCCTCTGACACTGGTGGGTGGTCCCCTTCCCCAACTCCTGTGTGCCTTTGGAAACTGAGTCCGGAACAGGCACTTCTCACCAGAAGTGGTCTGGTTTCCAGGGACTCTATCCTTGAAATGCAACACAGCACACAGAGGTCCCCAGCAGAGACACCCCCTGAAGCCATACCACAGCCCCAGGGACAAGAGTGGAGCAGTGAGGGGGAGAGGCACAGGGAACTCCCCCCAAAACTAACAGAGGCACATAGGCTACTTTGAAGCAGTATTTTTTAAAACCCAGACATAAAGGAAATATATTTTTCCTATCATAAGTGAAATGTGTGTTTTAGAAGCTTGGGAAAATGCAGTTAAATAGGTGGAAAAGAGCACTTATAACCCCACCTCCCAGAACCCACTGTTTGATATATTTCTTCCAGCCTTTGATACATGTATTTTTTAGCCGAATTCCCACGGTGTGCATAATGCAGCATTGCTGCCAAGACAGCAGACGCACTGGGACTGTGCTCCTGGGGGCTTCCTGACTGTACTTTGCTTTTCACTGACTTCTCACACAAAACCACTTCACCCCGAAACCCTGGAGGTGCACAGTCTAAGATGAGACCTGGGCTTCATCCTGCCCTGGCCTCTCAGAGGAGTTTAACCTTGAACGAGTCACCTTGCTGTTGGTGCCCGTCTCCTCATTGTAGGGTGGAGAGGAAAGAAAGCCTTGTTTGTTTTTGTTTTGGGTTTGTTTTTGGAGCGGGGCACTTTCCTCACATGTCTGAAAGTAAAGGAGAGGAAGTGCTTTAAATGTAGATGTGAGGGCAATGAAAACGTTCTCCTCCTCTTCCTCTTCCTCCTCCCTCACCCACTCCTGTGACCCTGCATCTGGAGTCCTGGACCAGCACCCAGAAACCTGCTCCCATGCCCCAACTCCTCTATCTTCTTGTGTGACCCCCAAATAGCTCAGCTTTCTGAGGAGTGGGGGAGGAACATCTACCTCACACAGTTGCTGTGAATGAAATGAGCACATTGGCAAACCCAAGGGTCCTTTCTGGGGTCTACCTCCCTGGGAGAAGCTGGGTCCCCGGAGTCCCCTCTCCCTGTGGAGCCTGAATTCCAGCCAGGACCCTTGGTTAGAAGATTCTCACAGCAACCCTTGGGCACCTGACCTTGAGGGACATGGTGCCCACTGGCTTATGTCATTGCCACTGTTTTCACACGATGCGTAGGCCAGACCATCAGAGTCCCTCCCTCTGTGTGCATCCTCCCGAGGCATGGCCTGCATTTCATCAGAAGGTGGGAGCCTCAGCCTTCTCTCCTCTCACCTGGGCATTGTCCCCAGCCCACTGCAGGCCACCTGGCAAGTCGGTTTCCAAAGCCCTGTCACTTCTGGGTGACCTCTGAGGACAAGGCCACCACTGTTCAGGCAGCATCCATGTTACCAGGTGTCCCCTCCCCACAGGTGGGACACACAGAGGGGTGACAGTGGAGGCAGTGGCCACAATGCATGGCAGGGGGCAGAGTCTAAAGCAAAGCCAACCGCCCTTGGAACCTACCTCAGAGACGCCAGGCATTTCCGTGAGAAGCCACTGACACAGCCGACTCACAGTCAGCTCACTCCCAGTCAGGCTTGGTGGGGGAGCAGGTCCGGTGGAGCTCCCTGGAGGTCTCTAGGGCCCTGGGAGTGAGAGCAGGTTGCCCCAGGGGCTGTGCCACTCAGACTATGGCTGGAAGGCCACCCTCTGCGACCCTGGGGAGCTTGTAGAACCCATAATCTTTCCCACCTCCACACCCCTTGGGCCTACAGAATTAAATCTCTGGATCTCAAGCACACTCACATTGGGTTCCCTAGGTCACAATTATTTTCACACCTAGATTTGCTAATACTTTCCATCTTATCTCTTGACACCTTCCTTGGTGGGAAGAGGGAACAGTAACATTCCAGAAAGGGTAGAAAATATAAAAATCACTCGCAACCATCCCCCCACAATCAAACAATTTTTATTTTGTGCACACATTCCCGTCTAATCCTGGTTCATGTGCAAGCTGTGTTTTTCACGCACGCCATCAGTTGTCCGACTTCAGTCAGAACTTCAGTCAGACTTCAGTCGATGCCACAGCACAAGCTTGTTTCCACACTGCTGCTTCATACTTACTGTGTTTCCCTACAAATAAGACCTGGCCACAAAATAATCAGGCTTGACAATGAGATCAGCAATGCCAGCCCCAGTAAGCCCATCCTGACCTTCCCTGCCTTACGGAGCAGCCACTGAGCAAGAAAATAGTGAGGTCAGGGAAGGCTCGGATAAGCTGACTGGGGCTGGCTTTTCTGATCTCTAGTTTTCAAGGCTGATTTGTATTTTCTGGATCTAGGTAGTCTTTTGGAGGAAAGAGGGTAGCACTCTTGTGGGACCCAAAATGTGGCATCTAATGTGCCCACAGCCCTGCACAGCCCTCTTATTATATGTACCCTTGGGTTGCTTCCATTTTCCCGCTTATACACCTAAAATGAAGACAAAGACAGCTGGGCACGAGGGCTTATGCACAGTGGGGATGAATACAGCTCATAGCTCACCTTTCCTCCTCAGAGACACTGGGGACACCTACCTGTCTGAGGTTGACAGTGCAGAGGGAGAAACAAGTGAAACTTCACACTTCTGTTGTGATGTCTGCTGCTAAGGAAGGGATGTGGTGGCCTTGGGGATCTGAGTGGCTTAAGCAGTTTCTTCAGTTGTCCCCAGACCCCAGACACTAACTCAATCCCAAGGGGGTTGGTCCTGCTTTCAGACACCCAGTGGAGAGGAGTGCAAAGCCCACCACGTCCACAAGGGTGACCTGCACCTCTCAGTCTCACTGTTGAGGACTCATCCTGGCTTGTGACAATGGCTACCTGAAGTACCCCTGGTGGCCCTGTCACTGAGAGATGCCACTGAATCGCTGGATCACATTCACATGGCAGCCACTCTACCCAGTCCTAGCACAAAGACAGAGCAGGGTGCCTCTGTCCAGAGGGGCCTGTGGCCTCTCCCCAGCAGCCTCCTGCCCTACACCCTGGTGTCCCTGACATTCACCCACTAAGACCCCTCCCGGCGGGGCTCTCCCTGCTCCACGTCCTCACAGGAAAGCAGGGTTGGAGAGCATTTAGTGGAAGGACATCACAGAGGTCGATCAAGGGTCAGGGAAGCAACAGTGGGGGGAGGTGACCTGCCAGAGGACAGTGACAGTGTGAAGCTGTAATCACTCAGGAGACAAGGCACGACTTGGATTAGGGTTAGGATTAGTGCTGCAGCACTGGTGGGGGAGTCATAAGCAGAGATCAAAACTCCTTCCCTGCTGCAGCCCACTGGGAGTGGAGTTGGGGAGACCTCCTCCTGTCCCCCAACCCCTGCCTGGGCTGTCCAGTGCCCAAATCAGCAGGAGCTTATGTTGAGTCCACCCCTTACAATTTATGAATTGTGCTCAGGTCCAGGGAAAAAGATGGCCCCAAAGTAAGGCCACCAAGAAGTCCCATCAGCTGCCATACAGTCTGGGGCGCTATCACATCTGTTCCACTCCGTAGAACTCAAATCACAGTGCAGCCATGCTGAGGTGAGCAGGGCGACTGAACGTGAAACTGGCCACTAAGCTGGCTCTTGTCTGACCGCTGAGCTGAGAGGCATCTCACCGGGCAGCATGACCCAATCTTCCCTCGCAGACGGTCTGAGTTCATGGTGCTCTGTATCAAGCGGTCCCAGTCAACCCATTCCCAAAGAACATGGAGCCGTCTTAAAGGCCTCCCTGGAAGCACTCTAGAACTCCCGAGGGTAACTGCTGAGTGGGGCAGCACGACCAACACAGTGCTCCAAGGACCGACAGCTCAGCATCTGAGGGAGCCACGGAGGAATCTACATTCTGCTCCCACCCTGGACTTAGCAAACGGGAACATGGGTCATCGGGGTACCAGGGGCCCCAGAGAACCCCTGGACTCCAGGCTCCATCCTTGTCCCCATGGTGTAGCAACAGCCCTGTTATCTCTTAGGTATTGTGACAAATTCCCTGGCAGCACAGTGACCCTTTTGCCTGCAGGTTCAACGTAAGGGCCCCAAGTGCTCATCTTGGACCATCTGGGCTTCTACTAACAGGACTGTAACTACATTCCTTTGTGGAAGCATTGTGTCTTGGTCCCTAAGGATTTCTGAACCTCCGAGCCTACAGTTTTAAGGATAGAAAACAAAAAATCTCCTGAATGGATTGCTAAGTGTAATAGAAAAAGGGGTCACTTTCACGCCCAGCCTGTGGCCCCCAGAACAGGGGACCTGGGCGGGAATAGGAAGCACATGTGTGGCCTCTGGCCGAACACAAACACTTCTCCCTCCAGGATACGGAGGAAAAGGAATCCTGTAACATTGTTGGCAGGAAGGGAAATGAGTGCATATAGAAAACCAACTAAAAGTAGAACTCAGTCCCATCCTGGGACTCAATCCCTCTGTCCAAAGGAAGCGGAATTGGTGTTCCAAGGAGCCGTGTGCACTCCCATTTTCCTGCCACACTAGTAATAAAGGCCAAGAAATGGAATCGACCTAAGCATCCACCGGCCGATGGGCGGATGAAGAACGAGCACTGCACACACACAGGGGCGCAGGTTCCAGCCACGGGAAAGGATGCAATTTTTTCAGTTGGGGCAGCATGGATGGACCTGGAGGTCGTTAGGCTAAGCGAAAGCATGGACTGCATGATCTCACTTGTTATCTCGTAAAAGTGATCTCAAAAATCGCAAGTGGTTACCCTGGCGGAAGCAAGCAGGGAAAAGCGGGTCAATGGGTGCTGTTACAGTTAGGAGAAAAGAGCTCTGGCGTGCTGTGACTTCACATACGGCAACTCACCACTGATTTCAAAGAAGCCACACGAGAGGATCTCCAAGGTTCTCACCTCAGAGATCCGTGTTTGAGATATACGTTTCCCCAGATTTAAATATTATAGTGTAAACATCGAAACCACAATGCCCCATAAATATGTACAATTTTGTGTCCATTTAAAAAAATAGGAAATGAAAATAAATGACATGAGGTCAATAGTGCCTCCTGCAGGTCAGGCCTGGGACAGCCCTCCTGGGCCCCTGAAACTCAGCCGGGTCGTCTGCTGTGGGGACAGGGCGGAGGCTGTGGTATGTCTGTGGGGTGACTGAGTTGGGCTTGCCTGGTTTGAATGTGACCCCCATGTTCCCACAGTGGAAACCTAGTCCCCATGCAGCATGGGTAGGAAGGGCGGACTGAGATGAGACAATCGGGCCCTGGGTGCCACTGCAAGAGGGGGTGTCTGGCCTACTTCCCCTTTCCTCCACCCATCCGGTGCCTCCAGCCAGGTTACATGAAGCAAGAAGGCTGTTGCAGGACGGAGGCCACCCTTGACCTCGGACTTGTGCCTCCACATCCCCAGCCAGAAACACCGTGACCTAGTGTGTGGCCTCTGCTGGGTCAGCATGACCCACGGGGCAGAAGCGGCCTGAGGCACCACCTGGTAGGGCAGTTGGTTAGTTCCATCCGAAGGGCATGTGTCTGCTCCCACTCCCTCCAGGACAGAAGAGGGTCACTCATCTGCCACCAACCGGCTGGCCCATCTCACTGCCCACCCCTGCGGACAGAGCCACACGGGGCCCTTGGCATTGGTCTCAAGTCCCTGCAGGCTGTAAACCCAGAAGCAAAGGGAATGCTGCCTTTTAGAGGGAAAGCACTCCCTGCATGGCTCCCGCCCCACCACGGCTGCTTCCTTCATGATGCCACTGGGCACACAGCAGAGCGGACAGAGGGGCCCACGCTGCAGGCTGGCTGCCCTGCCCACCTGACTGGAAGGCCTCTTCTGCATGCAGCCCTCCACCAGGCACCAAAGTGGTCACGAAATCTTGACACTGTGCCCCACCCTTGCTCACCCTCTCCCTGGGGCCTCTTGTCCTTTCTTGCACAGAGCAGCACTGGACCTGGCTGCTGAGGGCGGCCAGCCCCACATGCATCCCAAGCTGCCAGGCACACCTGGTACACAGGGTCTTCTGAGCCGTCAGCCCAAGGGGCAGGGAGCTGCTACTGCTCTGGGTCCACTCAGAACCAGCAGCCTGTGACCCAACCGGGAGACACATCCGGCACAGGCGGAGCTTCCTTCAAGACTCCCAGTCCTGAGCCTCCCCTCCACTGGGTTGATCAAGGAGAGGCTCCCCATGCCTCTGCCCCACAGGAGACACCCACCAAGATAGCCCCAGTGTGCAAGCCCTGAGTTTTCCTGGGGTCCCCCCAGTGCCACCATGTCATCCACACAACAGCAGTCCACCGAGATTTCTACCCGCCAATCTCTCTGCCCATGGCACCCATCCAGCCTGCTCCCTGCTCCTCAGCTCTCTAGCCACCCCACCACAACACACACATCTGGGATCACCACCTAGCTCTCACCTGCCCGAGATCGCATCCCCTGCAAGGACAGGGCTGGGGCTCTGGCACCCCCCAGCATGTGCTAAGGACCACACCTGTGCCCCTCACCTTTCCAAGTGAGGGAGTGGGCACCTCAGGCTTGGGAGAGTCACCAAACATAAGCTAGGCCTGGGGCTGCAGGGGGACCTGACAGGGAGGGCCAGTTGGGGCTGAGAGTACAGCATGGTGATGTCCTGGCCAGGGTACTCAGATGAGGCAAGACATTATTCTAGACGCATCTGTGGAAGATGACATCAACAAAGCTGAAATCAATAACTGTGGGTGAAACAGTGTTCCAGGAAGTAGGTGGGCCTGGTCTAATCAGGTGACAGTGTCAAGAAAGACTTCCCAGGAAGATGGATGTTGCCTGCAGTATGTCTTCAGCTTATGTGCAACTCTTTCCAGTCTCAAGGCTGGCAGGCACCCTGGGCCCCAGTATCACATGAGCCAATATATTCAAGTAAGTATGGACATGGACATGCACACACGCACAACCCCCCACTGTGTCTCTAGTTAAGGAAGCACCATGCCTAGCCTGCCAGCCTAGGGCCTTTGCTGGGCTCACACACAGCCTCGGAGCACAGGGACACAGTGCAGTGGCTTTATTGATCCCAAAGAAACAACAGGCAGTGGCCACAGTGGGAGGCCCACCCCTGCAAGTCCTCAGAGTGGTGAGTGGGCGGGCAGCACCTTCCCAGTGCACTGGCCAAAGCCCACACGGTAGCCGTCTCCCTGGCAGTGCCCTGGAACAGAAGACGGGGTCAGACTCACGTGACTCCAGGCAGAGGCTCATGGGGGCACACGGGGCACTGGGAGGCTGAGGCCAGGAGTCTGGGTTCAGATCCGATGTCTGTCTGTCCACCTACTGGGCCTGACCCGGGGCCCCAGACCTCGGCCTCCTGTTCTGTGAGACAGGCTAGTGACAAACCACTGCTCAGGTGGTGGTGGGAGGAGCCCACAGGCTCAGGGACAGAAGGACCCCGTGAAGGGCCCAAAGCCAGGCCCCCCGGAAGCCAGGTCCCACAGCCACAGTGGTGACATGAGGGCTTCAACCAGGACACGGCTGTGTTTAAAGCTTATGATGTTACACCACTGAAAGAAGAACTGCAGTCTCAGGGGCCTGGGTTCCTCATTTGGCTGCAAGACCTGGCTGGTAGCTGCACCCCAAGGAGCAGACATGCACTGTCTCATCACTCGGACCCAGGACGGGCCCGAGAAGGTGCTCCCTGTCACTGAAGATCACAGTGGCTTGCAGAATCCTCACACGTGCTATTAACGTCAACCTGGACATCAACCTGTTAACGTCAGTCAGGAACATGCAGAGGGGCAGGGGGTCCCCAAAGGTCCGAGGCATCCCCGCCTCTCAGGATGGCTCCCTGAGCACAGGCACAGGCATGGCTCTGCACAGAACAAGGATGGAGCAGAGGCTGCTGGGCTTTCCAGTCTGTGCAGACTCACACACAGTGTCTCTGGGCCCAGGCTTTGCAGACAAGGACCCGAGATCACCGGAGTGGTCCAGTACCACGGGCAGGGACAGGACAAGCTGTGGCAACCTCACCTGTGATGATGACGTTGTCCCCATCTTGCAGAAACATCCTGGTCTGTCCCTGCCCCAGCTCGATGGCCTTCGTCCCCTTCCAGGACAGCTCCAGCATGCAGCCAAAGTTTTCTGGCTCCTTTATAACACAAAAGGGAAAAGGGTCACTCATGTGACACTGAGTGTGGGGTCCAACCTGGCTGGACAGTGCTCAGGGAGATCTGGAAGCTCTGGTGCCCCAAAGGCTTGGACACTGACCCTTTCTCCCTCCTCCAAGGGCCTCAATGTCTAGGATACTGAGTCCCCGGTGCCCTCCCTGCCACATCTTGGAGTGCAGCCAGGACCCAGCTGGGAGGGACCGACTCACACCCCACTGTATCATTTCTGAAAGTTCTGTGCCCAATCCCATCCTCACAGGGCATCTGTGACTCTGGGAAGGGTCACAGCAGAGAGGTCACCCCGTCCTGGAGGGGCAGTGTGACACGGGGACGATGAGCACACCGCAGGTGCCTCCAGGCCCTTTGGGGACAGAGACCCAGAGTTCTGTTCTCACACAGCCTTTGGGCAAGTGTGGAGCAGAAGCCGATGTCCCATCAGCTGGGGCTGAGGACCCTGGGTTGGGTGGTCCCTAAGGCTCTCCATAGGGGGCAGCCCCCCTGCAGCCAGGACTCACCGGCCCGCTGATTGTTCCCGAAGCCAGGAGGTCACCTGGCCGCAGATTGCAGCCGTTGACAGAGTGGTGCGCCAGCTGCTGCAGCATGGTCCAGTACATGTGCTGGGGATGCAGGGAGCAAGCAGGGAATGGTACGCACGGGGCCCTGCTCCCTGCCTCACCCCATCCTGCCCTCCTGCTCCCCAGCTGCCTCTCAGGTCCCTCATAGGAGGGATGCATGGCCCCCGCAGAGCTGCCCAGGGGCCTCCCCTCCACCTGTCTGCTCCAGCCCGTCTCAGCTCCTCTGCTTCCAAGAAGCAGCCCAATGGTGTCAACGCTCACCTTGAAGTTGGACCTGCATATGGTGGCTGCCTGGCTCATTCCTTCTCCTGTAGGAGAGAGGAGGTCGAACTGATGAAGACCTAATTCCCTGTGCCAGGGGGACAATCAAAGGGACTGCTCAGTTGCTTCAGCTTCTGGTCACCCAAACAACTTTACTTAGAATTTGCGAAACAGTACACTCGTAGGTACTAGAGCTGGAGACCTCCAGAGATGATCTGGTCCAGAGACAGCAAATCCCCGCATGCAGCCACCACTGCTTCCCCTCCTGCAGCCATTGCATGTGGCACCTGTCCCAAGGCAGACTCAGAGTCCTTCGTAACAGAGCCCTCCTGCTACCTACCTTTCAGGGCAACAGACAGGTTGATATCAAACGTGTAGGGCTGGTCATGGCAGAGGTAGGGCAGGGGCCTGGGGTCCTGGGGGGCAGAAACATAGCAAAGCAGTTGCTGGCACACTGAGCTTGCCAGGCTGCCCCTAGCACCACTGAATTCTGGGAAAGAGGGCAACATGGCCAGAGTGTCCCTGACATGGTATCTTGGCTACACACTGGGGGCAGGGTGGTCACAGGTGCCAAGCTCCAAGAAGGGAAGCTGAGGGAGGGGCATCACACAGAGTTGCCCCAGAAGCCAGTGGAGTGGAGGGTGGGGGAGGGTCCCAGGGCAGAGCCTGGGCAATGGTGGGGTGGGGTGAAGGCCCCGAGAGGCCCAGGGTCAGGCAGCCCACAAAAGCACACAGCCCCCACTGGTGTTTGGCCACCAGGGGGCAGCATGATGGCCAAAACTTGCATTCTGGGCAAAAGTAGTATTTCCCAAATGTGACCGGTAAATCAGCAGGGGGACACAAGATCATGTTTAGTGGTCTGAACAGCTGTATGTGTTTCATTTATTACAAACAGTGGGGCTAGTGAGGCATTAGTGTTTGCAGGGAGAGTTCTGGGGTCTGCTACAGAGCAACCCCAAGATGTCACTGAGGAGGCCTGCTCAGGCCTGGGGATACCTCCAGGGAGAGACGGGTTGCTCAGCGTGCATAGCCCTCCCCCAGGGCAGAGTACAGCAAGGCTTTTAGGGACCTGGATTCATGGGAGGATTGAACAGGAGCCTTAGGCCAGAGACAGCCCAGGGCAATATGGCCAACCTAGGACACGCATATACACACAGGCTGTACCACTGAGAGCTCTAAAAGGTTCTGCATCAGTGGCCTAGGGTGTGTGAGGGCTGCAAGGTCCTGACCCTGAAGTCAGAGGCAGCTCTACAAATCACAGGGCAGCAGGGGCCAACTACACAACAGGAGAGGGTGAGATCCCAGCCGGGCCCTGACAGCAGCACAGGCTGTGGGCAGTTGCCCTCCTAGCTGACTCTGTGAGCTGGGCTTTGAGGGGCACCACTCGCAGAGGACATGATCTGCTGGCAGCCTGAGCAGTGGGGCCATGTGGCAGGGGCTGGGCCCTCTCCTGTCAACTGCATTTCAAAGCCTAAACACTGTAGGATCCCTGAGAAGCAGACTCCTAAGAACTGTGGTGAGGGCAGGAAACCCCAGAGGAGAATGTCTGGACCATGCTGCCTGGAAGTCACTGTGACCAGGACCCGAGCATGGCGGGTGTGCTTACCTGCTTGGGGTTGGGCACAGTGAAGGGCGCGAGGGCATCCATGGGCACCACCCATGGGGAGATGGTGGTGGCAAAGCTCTTTCCGAGGAACGGCCCAAGGGGGACATACTCCCACTGCTGAATGTCTCGGGCTGGGGAGAGGGCGGGACAGGGGCTCAGCCTTGACCCAGGAGCACAGCCTAGTGCAGCCTCCCACGCTACCCAGCCCAAGGCAAGAGCACTCAGCACCAGGGACAGAAGTGCTGGGCAGCACCTTTTGGTTTCAGCAGACAATGGCCAGAGGATGGCGAAGATGTCCCTGTGAGGGGCCAGGGATGGGCAATGCCCTCCTACATGTGGCAAAGGGAAGCTTCAAGTCTTAGCAGTGAAGTAAAATCTCTGTGTCCAGTATTCTGTCTGGTAAGTGGGACTCATAACACTACAAGCAGCTTGCAGGGCCCAGAGGGAGGCTGAGGGAACGTGAGGTGTGAAGCCCAGGGCCTGGCACATAATAAGTGTTCAACAAATATCAGGGAGCCTTGTCCCTGTTCAATACCAGAGGAAGCTGGGACTCAGCATGGCAGTGAGTATCCAAGGGCTCAGAGCCAGGGTTTGAACCCAGAGCCACACCCTCAATCTGCTGCCTCTGACCAGTCACAGACCCAGGAACCCACCCATGTTCAGCACCCAGAGCAGGGCCACAGGGCTCAGTTTGGTGATTACCACTCCAGTCATTCATGAGAACCATTCCAAAGATATGCTCGTGGGCCTTGGAAATGGGGATGGGCTCTCCCAAGCAGTTCCCTGGGCCTACAAAAAAAGCCTGGCAGGCAGAGAGGTGATTAGAACCCGGGCCGATGTGCCCCATAGCGCTCGTCACCTGGAGAGAAAAAGTCAAGGTTGCCAGACCCAGGCCAGGCACGGTACACCAGAGGCACAAACCTCCACGGTATCATCAAGGCCACCTAGGCACTCACGGCTGCCTTGTCCTGGTCCTCTGTGCACCCAGCCTTTCCGCCCTTTGCCTCTCGCCCGCACCCCTGCCTCTCACAGGTATGTGAGACTTGTGAAAAATGAGACCGTAAGGTTCATCATCACATCACGGAGAATCAAAAGGCTTCCGTCTTCCAGCCACCAGGATTGCCTCCCCACACTCAGGACATGGGGCAGCACCGGGGCTGTGCTCAGGGGCCTTCAGAAACAGCAAAATCACTTGTACAAAACAAGGCACGCAACGCGTGTGTGAACACGCGAGTGCAGCCTGAGGGCCAAGATGGTGGACATCAAATGGCCTTGTTTGCCTCGGCACATCAGGAGACTCAGCTGTCACTGTCCTTACACTGAGGACCAAAAGGCTCTGGAAAGTACTTCTGGGGGTGAAGATCAACTAACAAGGAGGTGCACCCAATGCAGAGCCTGCGGCTGATGAGGACCAACTGCACTCGGACGCGGGCTGCCACTCTGGGAGAAGGTGTGTGCATGAGTAACCACCCAGGGGCTGCAGAGGTCTTGGGTCGCACCCCACAGCCCGCTCACCATTTCCAGCTCCATATCCAGGCGCTTGCAGGGCCCGTACACAGGAGGCTGGGCTGGAATAAGGCCGGAGAAAGGGGCTATTGTGAGCACCAGGTTTCAAACGCACTGCCGGGAAGAGGCAGCAGGCACAGTAGGGCCTGAATGTGGGGTCACTCACAGTTATCAGGCCTCATCTGTCCCATGGGCCTGCGGATTGGGGTGCCGGACACCACGACGGAGGAGGCGCGGCCATGGTAGCCCACTGGTAAGCTCAACCTGGGGAAGAAGGGGGATTGCAAGGCGTCAAAGCTGCTTGGGTTGTGAAGCAGACTTTAAAAAGAAAACATGGTTCAAAACTCAGAAGCATGCAGGGCTCTAAGACACCCACGGCCAGCTGAGCTCATGGGTGTAGAAAGGTGGCCCTGAGATCCGAATCCAGGTCAAGGTGACCACAGAGCTCTGTTGCTCCACTGTGCCCCCAACCTCACCCAGCACAAGGGGCAAGGAGCAGATCACAGTGGGTGAGGGAACGGGGAGGAAAGGCCCCAGATTTCAAAACCCTATACAGCAGTCTCATACAGTGCGGCTCTGCGTTTAGGGAGCAACAGAGTACACTGAGGACCACAGGACAGTGATGAGGCGGCCCATGGTAAAGAGAAACAGGCAAGTGCCTTGGAAAATGGGGGACATCAGACCCTGTGCTGCAGAGCATGGCGACTCCCCAGAGATAATGGCCACACCCTAAGCCCCTGAAGACGTGGGAAGCATCTTGGCAGATGTAACTACCTTAGGGATCCTGAGATGAGGGCATCTGGAGGGGCCCCATATCCAAAGGGTCCTTATACCAGACAGAAGAGGACGCAGCAGTGGAAAAGCAGAGGCGAGAGAGAGGCAGCCACAGGGAGGTGCTGGGGAGTGGACGGTCCCCTTAAGCCTTCAGAGGGAGCATAGCATTGCCCATGCCTTGATTTCACTCTGGACTTCGAGAAGGTAAATTTGTGCTGTTGTAAACCAGCCTGCTGTGGGCCCTTGTCACGGCAGCCTGAAGACATTAATACAGACTCACACCTCACCTCACAAGAAAGGAAATTCAGGATGGATTAAAGATCCACGTGTACAAAGAAGAGGCACTGCCAGTACTAGGGAAAAATACAAATAATCTTGTCAAATTCTTGGGGTAGAAAAAGGCTTCTTAAACAAGACATTAAAGTAAATCCCATGAAGAGAGCGAGTATGTTTCACTTTGTAAAAATGTAAAATGTCCACATCCAGAGAGACTGCCAAGTAGAAAGGCAACACACAAGCTGAGTATTACTTTTTCAGAATGCTTACGGCTAGGAGCATTTCCAATTCCAAAGTTTTTCAGATACTGTAATATTTGGATGTATATAACAAGCTATCTTGGAAACAGGACCCAAGTATAAATGCAAAACTCATTTCTTTCATATACACCATATATATGCCTGAAGATAATGTTATAGAATATTTTTAATAATTGTGTGCAAGAAATACAGTCTATGTACCTCAAACTGCCACGAAGTGTCACTTGTGGCAACCATGCCAGCAACTTGAAAAGTTTCAGATTTCGAAACATTTGGATTTCAGATTTTCGGATTGGGGTGCTCAACCTGGAGTAGGAGAACATGTTTGCACTGCTTTGCAACAGAGAGTTAATTTCTGTTACTTATTGAGCTCTTTCAAACTGGGAAAGAGAAGTAGCTGTGGAGCTGAGTTAGCAGAGTATGCAGGGTCCCCTCGAGAGGACACACGGGAGACCAGCAGTTCTGCCCCTGGAGAAGGGAACTGTACACATCTACCAACTCTTCTGGATTATTTTTAATTTGTTAAATGTTTGCTAACTTACTATATCATGGATGTCCTACGCAACAATTAATTTTGTAAATGACTGAGGTGTATTTAAGTTGATTTATACAGAGAGATGTCAATGAATAGGAAAGTACAGTTTAGCATGGTTACACTTTGTTAACTGAAGAAGTTAATTTAAAGAAGTAAAATAGGTACACACCTGAGTGCCTCACCTGTGGAACAGCTCAGGGGCAACATATCCAAGCACTGTAATTGCCTCAGGTGAGTGGCGAGGGAGGAACCCTCCTTGGGTCCCTTTATCGTATTAAGTTATAAAAATGCAGCAGTATGCAACTGCACAGTGTGTAATAATCCAAACATCAGATGAACAACAGGAGCTGGTCACCTCGCTCACTCAACCATTCCCCCAAGAAAGGCAGCAATGCGCTCTCTTCTACACTCACCTGCCTACACACATACACATGTGACCTGGAAAGATGTTAACAAAACAGAAAGAACAAATGTATATGTGTGCACCTGTGGATATGTGGAACTGTGTGTGTCAAACTGCAAACCTGCCTCTCATCCTGATATCCACATCCTAATCCCTGGAACTAATGGATATTACCTTACAAGTCAAAAGGGATTCATTTAAGGATCCTAAATTATAGAGATTACCCTTTGTTATTCTGGTGAAGGTTAGGTATAATTTAAAGCAGCAATGAGGAATCCTTTACCAACCAAATGGCCCAAGATGCAACCCCAAATGCACTTATTTATCACAAAGCACCAACACTGCGATTAAATCCTAGTACTGAGGCTTCTGTTTGGGAAAAAAACCAGCTCATACATTAATATCTTTTGTCTTAAAAGAAAAACAAATAATATGTGTGCCATAGGTTTGCCACCACTGGGATCCTTGGAGAATAAAGGCAGGAAGGTCAGGAGGAAGCAGGGTTGTAGGGACGGAAGAGACAGTGACACAAGTCATAGTGGCTTCAAAAACTGGGAAGACGCAGCTCCCCCCAGATGCTCCAGAAGTTGTCCTGCTGATAGCTTGACTCTAGCCCAGAGAGGCTGATTTAGAACCAAAGAGAATGTGCTTGTGTTGCTTTAAGGCACCAAATCACAGCAATTTGTTATGGCAGCAACAGGAAACTAATGTGTGTGTGTGTGTGTGTGTGTTCTTTATCAAAATGAGAACATATTTTGGGTAACACTCTATAATTTGCTTATTACCTTTGACATATATCATGCACATCTCTCAATCTAAATCTTTCAGTAACTTATGGGACAGTTTACCCTGGGAAGAGAGTAACTTCTCCTCTGCCAAGCCACCACTCAGGCTGCCTTTGCCTGCTACATGAGGGTGCTGCTACTTTTCCTTCTGCAGGACAGATGCAGAGAAACAGCCTGCAGATTCGGGGCGTGCACACTGTGAATTACACATGTTCTTTATATACTTTCCTGTTGAGTGTTTGGGTTCATCACTATAAGCATAGAGTTGAGCATCCCTAACCCTGAAGTTCAAAATGTTCCACAATCTGGAATTCTGAACCCCAATATAAAATCACAATGTGTAAAATTCCCCTGGGCTAAAGGTGTAGCTCAGGGATGACCACTTGCCTCACACACACAAGGTTCTGGGTTGCGTCCCCAGCACTACGAAGAATGGATATGCATGAAATTGACTGTCAGGCTATGAAATAAGGTATATGTATATATGAAACAAACTTCATGTTTAGACTTGGGACCATGGGATATCTCACTGTGAAAGCAAATATTCAAAAGCCTGAAAGAATCTGAAATCTGAAATGCTTAGAATAAGGGATTCTCAACCTGCATCACTTTTGTCATAAAGACTGTAGAGATAAAGTATACGAGACACTGGTGCAGGCCACCCTGCCCAACATCACAGGGCACCCTGTCTGCATCTGCCCTGCACAAGCACCTGAGACACTGTCCACCAGCACCTGTCCCCAGCTAGCCATCCTCACTAGGTCTTGCAGTTGGCTCTCCAGGCCCCCTATTCTTTCTCTGTCTTAGTCTAACAGACTCTCTCTCTGACTTATCCTCTCTGAGTATGCACCTGCCCATCTGTCCAGGCCTTCAGTTCTGAGTGGCCATCGCATCCAGAGGACACCATGAAGCAAAGGACCAGGAATCACAGGTGTTTCTCACCCTAAGTGGGGTGGCAGGTGAGCCTCCGACTGTCCTTGGGAAAGCTGATCTCTCTCTGAGCCTGCGTTTTCTCTGGCTCGCAGTCCTAACCTGAGTCACCTCACAGAACTACCAGGAGATCAAGTGAATGAACGTCTGCACTGGGCCACACTTTGAGCAGCATACAAGAGTAGGCACCCTTGATAATTCCCATTCATCAGAAGGTGCTAAGTACCAAGAAGCTGGGATTACCACGATAGAACAATAACAGCTTATAATGAAAGAACCCAGAAGGACCCTAGCAACTCAGGGAATCTAAAGCCAGCCTCTGTTCTTTTGTGGAACAAGCTCAAGAGACCTGCACGTGGGCCCCAGAGCAGGTCCCCAGCCGTGCCAAGGCAGCTGGAAGCTAAGGTGACCACGTCTAGAGACAGTAACATCCTCATCACATTCCATCACTTCCCGTTTCCTCTCTGGTTTGCTTATACCTATGTTGAGCTTGGTAGCACCTGGGAAATGAACAGAATCTATACTCACCAGCCTACAACATACATACGCAACCCACAAATAACATACGACAGGTGTATACGTGAAATGGACCAGACAGACCTCAATCTCACCATGTGCCGGGTTTCGAACGTACCAGTTGGGCATCAGTGCATTCTCTTTGCCCCTGAACATGATTCCAATGTTGGTGGCATGCTGCCTGGAGGAGTAGAAGTCCGTGTAGTCTCCTGGGGAAGAGGACCCAGGAGAGGTTGTCAGCAACCCAGTGGGGAGAGGGGGCATTTCCAAGCTGGTGCATCCCAAAGCTCATTTCAAACGTGACACTAAGTGGCCTCAATACAGATTCAGCTGAGGACCCCCAACCAAGGGAGAAATAAGAAATAAGGTGCCAACACTTTCTGAATCAGCCTGTGGTGTCTGGCACGAGACAGGACACTGTCCCCTTCTTGGGCCCTCAGCTGCAACAGCAGGAACCCTTCACTGTGTCTGCCCAAGCTGTGCCTGCCTCGGACCAGTTTCAAATCCAGGCAATCCATGTGGTCCCCACCTCCATGTGGCCCTCCAACCCTCCTGGGGCACCCTTTCCTCTGCGAGCCCTGCCAGGGGCAGGCTTCCACCCCACAGGTGCTAGGTCATGCGCCTACAGATCTCTGTGACACACGGTTATCTCCAGGCCTCCCCATCCCGAATTCTGATGATTCCCTTAGGTGTAGGATTGAGGTCTCGTACAGCGCCTCCGGCTGGGGTTTCCGAATAGGATGCTTCCTAAGCAATAGCCACCCTGTCTCCTATGGATAATGAGTTACTAGAATTTGCAGGAGAATCCATGTGGGAGAGTTTGTTTCTTTGACTTCCTAAATTTCTTGTCCCATTCCCCAAAAGCTGAGAGCCCTAGTCCCACTAGGCTGGGCTAGAAGGGGAAGTGGGAAGGGGAGCCTGGGGGCCACTAGAGGTGGGGTGGACAGACTGAGCCCTAGTTGTTGCTTCCTGCCTCTAGTCCCAGAGCACAGAATGAATCCACAGTACAAAACAAAACAAGAAACAGCTCCACCAGTGCAGCAGCAACGATACGGAATCCCTGAAGCATCACTGGTTTGCCAAGAAAGCACAGTGCGTGACGGGAAACAGGTGGCCAGGGGTCCCCAACCCAACCTCCACCCAACTTTGGCCAAGCTGCAGCCCAGAGGATGTGGCCCAACTGAAAGCTAGTCCAGAGCCCCAAGCTCCTTCCTGAGGGCAGGACTTGGCAAACCCCCAGCCAAGACCTTGTCCTGTCACTCCTGCCACAGCAGACCTGTCTGTGTCAGCCTGAGGTTTAGTGAGCTGCACTCTCCATTCTCCCAACTCAAAGTCCAAGCAGATGCCTGCCTGATGCATGGGTGGCTGCACAGCCCTCTGGCTCCTTCCTTGGAGCTGCTCACCCATAAGAGCTCAGAGCTCTCGGATCACAGCCTTTCAGGGACAGCAACCAATCTGCTGGCAGGAAGCCAGGCAGTTGGTCACAGACCTGGACAGCTGCCGCTCCTGGAGGAATGCACAGGCCCGGAGACAGCTGAGTCAACGTTGGCCTGGTACTGAGACTGGCTAGGGTCAGGGACCAGGTGACACCGTTTGTTCTTCCACCTGTCTGGGCAGGGTGTGCACTCACCAATGGCGGCCGGAAGGTGCATTGTGGCCGAAGCCTGCGAGGTGAATGCGCTGAAACACAGAGCCAGGGCTTCAGGGTCAGGGGAGTGGCACAGCAGCTGGGTCTGTGCCCCCACTGCAGCCTGAGCCCGCACTGTCCCAGTCCTGCTCGCCCTCTCCAAGGGCACATGGAGCAGGAGGCATTGAAGCCCAGGGACAGGCTGGACTGGCAGGAACTCCCTCTCTGTGCACCAGCAAGGGCGCAGGTGATGCTGACAAACAGAAATAGCGGAGTTGGGGTTGAGGGAAGCCCAGGTGGCCAGAGCCCTCCAGTACAGAGGATGGAGCCTGACCCACAAGGCCAGGTAAGCCAGGCCAGGACCCAGAGTGACACTGTCCACCGTCCAGTCTCGTCTCCCTGTGCATTCACCTGCCCATCACATCCACACACTCCTCACCGCCCCCGAAGCTCCTTGTCGTCCCGAAGCCTGGCTTGGCTGGCAGCCAGCAGGTTCTGCAGGAGAGCTCTTGCTTCCTTCCAGGCAGCCGGGCCCAGGCCCATGAAGCTGTTGAGAGTTGACTAAGGCCAAACACAAAAAGATCACACACACAGGAGAGCACCAGGGTCCCATCCTGGCCAGGGCCACTGGATATCCTGCCAGGCTGTGCCACTCCATCTACATCCATGTAGACGCTCCAGACCCTTGCTCTTGCTTTTGTCACTTATGTGTAACACTGGAGAAAGCCATAACCTTTCCTGACACTGCTATATCCCCTCCAAGACCCCCACACAACTGCCAAAGTCCAGGGCTGTTCCTCCCAGTGAGGCCACGCCAGTATGAGGGGTACAGTGGGTTGAACGGATCCCCACCCATCCATAAGTTAATTAGGAAGGCGTCTGGGTGCCAGTGAGGAGCGGCAGCCAGCACTGTGGAGGCTGAGGGTCAGGGCTCCAGCCCCAGCCCTATACTTCTTATGGGAGAAGCTAAGAGGATGGCATCTCATTCCAGATGCTTGGGGTCCCCACACATCTGGTAACAATTCCAATCTCTATGTCAGAAGGACTGAAGGAGAGAGGATGTATAAAGCTCCGGGCACACAGAAGGACCTCACTAATTATCCCTCTCCCTCCTGCCATGTGTCACAGATAGATGGGTGTCAAAGCAGGGAAGCTCAAAGCCACCCCACGTGGACATACAAGCCAGGCTGACTCCTTACTGTCCTGTAGACCTGGAGTCCAGGGCTCCTGACTCCCTGCTACACCCTGCCCTAAGAAAGACCTTAGAGTACAGAGAACTGACCCCTCTTTTCACCAAAGGACCCACCTCCAAGTGAGGAGCCAGGTGAGGTGTCCCAAAGCTACTTCCTGCCAGCTGGTGGCTTTGAGAACAGCCTCACCTTGTCCCCATGTAGCCTGAGGCTTAAGGAATAATTGTTAGCAAAGGTGGAAGGAAAGATGGCAAGGACAAGCCATACATATCACAACGTCCTACCTCAGTGAAGACATCCTGGTGTTTGGTGAGGACAGGTCCAGTGAAAAGATGCTTAATGGCACTGAGGTCCAGGATCTGGTCTCCGATGGCCACACCAATCCGTGGCCGTGGCTGGGGAAAGATAGCACAGTCAACATTGAGAAAAGCCTCTGCAGGCCTTGGCTGATTTGGTCGGGAACCCATCTGCTGCATAGCCCATCAAGGGGGGTGAGGAACTCATCCTCGGCATCCCATCCCACTGCCTTCTCTACTCCAGCAATGAGAAGGTAAAAGAATTGGGAAACTTCACTGGGAAAAGAATCTACCATGCCTTCGGGTGGGAGAACAGTGAGCTTGGTCCCTGGCCCCTTACCAGACCAGGGTGCTCTACAAAGTTCCCCAAGCTCTAAGCGACTTCCAGCAGCAATGAGTTCACCACCCTACTGGGCAGCTAGATGGCCTTCCCAGCCTGACTCGGCCTTTGCTCAGGGCCACTGCATGAGCTGCACCACAGTGGGTGCCCCATGCACAGTGCTGAAGGCCAGGTGGTGTGGGCTCCAGGCTTGCTGTGGCTCAGCAGAGGACAGCCCAGGTTGCCGAGGGCTGCACCAAGCCAGACTGCTCAGGCCACATCAGAGAGGCTCCTTTCTGCCCATACAACCCAGCATCAGTATCTGCAGCTCAAATATCTGGCCAAGCCTGGTTTTTGACCCTGCAGCCCTGGGCTTTGCTGGTCAATAGTGAGCCAGAGAGTGAGCCTGCAGACTCCACTTCATGGGGCCCTGGCCTGAGACAGGCTCATGGAGCTGCAAACCACCAGTTTTGCCAATGTGTTTCCAGGGAGCAGAAAGGCCTGATCTCCACTGGCTGCTCAGCCTGATGGGCTGAGAGGAGGTGGTCATATCCTCACACATCATCCTGGACCAGGGTTTCACAGATCCACACCTTTCTGTGGCATAGCTTGCCTGGACAACCTGGCAACTCCTCCCGGCTCTACTAACTCCCTGGACTCAGTCTGCCCCTCTGGAAAATGTGGTACAGGGCACTGGGCTCTGCCCCCTGGATCCAGTGGTGTCCACTCAGGCAACGGGCAGGGCAGACCCCGGGTCTAACTCTCTGACCTTAGGCCACACACTTGGCTGAAGGCAAGAAGGGGTTGCTACCCCTGAGTATGTCCCAGGTCAAATGGCAGCAAGGCTGCCTGTACCATCAGATGTGAACAAGGCCTAGGAGCTTCAGGTGGTAAACTACCACCCTTGTGCACTACACTGTGATCTGAAGACCTGGGAAAACAGTTCAAGAGACCGAGTCACTTTCCTTTTAAGAATATGCCCATTAGTACTAGACCAGAGGTCTCCCAGGTGCATCCAGCTTCCTTGGGGTCCTAGCCTGGACTTAGGTCATATCTGATATAAAGTTGTACAAAGTAAAGCTCTAATTCCCAGCCATAGTGGGGCACTGCAGGGACAGCCTTACAGGAAGTCTGCACAGCTGAAAGTTCTAGGCCTGTAGAAGGCCAAAGGGAACAATTCTCCATGCCAGCCCTCTTAGCAGAGGGCAGAGGGGAGGGGCACTGTCCCCCAAAGTCCTCTTGGCTGCCTGCAACATTCCAGCGGTGAAGCAGCAGGCTGGTGTTTGAAGGCCTCTCAGCCATTCACTTGGGCCCTCATTCTGGATTTCCTGGGACAGCAAGTTAAGCAAGAGGAAGCCTGCCTCCACTCTTCTGTCGGATCAATGTGTGCTCCCAGGAAGGGCAAAGACAAAGGGCAAAGGGCTGGCAGAGGTGGATCCTGCCATCAGAGAGAGGCTGGCTGGGGAAGTGTGCATGTTCCCCCAGGCCTATTAACATGCTGCACTCTTACAACATCTGGTCAGGCCTGCCAGTTATGAAACCACTCTCTGACTCTAGCAGACCAAGATGTGCACTGCAGGCAGGCCACAGAGGCCAGAGTGGGGGTGGTGGTCAGCTGGAGGAAGAGACCCCACTTTCCTGGAAGGGGCCAACTGCCAGGAGATCCAAACAGATTCTGGGGTTCCATGGCCTACAGAACTATCAGGGCTTGGGGGGGGGCAGAAATCTTAACAAGAAATACCACCGACGATGAAGATCTGCTCTTCCCACCCTGGGTCTCTCTTGTAAACTTGCTGGTATAGCCTCCCCCCCACATACCACCACCACAACCCGTTGTAAAAGATTTCTTTCTAAAAGTTCCCTTCTCTGCTCCCAAGGGCTCCTGAATGGCAAGGGTGTCATGCACACTCCATTTCACTTGTATTCACCGCTCCACTACCTTGCAGAAACAGGCTAGGAGGACAAATAACCTGAGCAGCCGCAAAGCGCCTGACGGGATCCGAACCCGCGGATCCTCTGCACGCACGGCCTTCCTGCAGAGTGCGGTGCCCAACCCTTCCCGAGTCTGCCCTGGCGCCAGGCCGCAGCTCACTTTGTCCGGGGTGGAGAAGACCCCGTAGGGCAGGTTCTGGATGGGGAAGTCCGAGTCTGCAGCCACAGGGATGAAAGACATGGTGGTGAAGCGTGAAGCGAGGAGCGTGACGAGGACAAGAGGAAAAGTGGACAGTGGTCATCCGGCCACGCCTCGCGGACCCTGGAGAACTCGCCCGCGTATTGGGCCTGCCGCGAACGCTAGCCCCACCCCTCCGCCCCCCCGTAGGGCAGGTTCTGGATGGGGAAGTCCGAGTCTGCAGCCACAGGGATGAAAGACATGGTGGTGAAGCGTGAAGCGAGGAGCGTGACGAGGACAAGAGGAAAAGTGGACAGTGGTCATCCGGCCACGCCTCGCGGACCCTGGAGAACTCGCCCGCGTATTGGGCCTGCCGCGAACGCTAGCCCCACCCCTCCGCCCCCCAATGCTGCCTGGAGGAGTAGAAGTCCGTGTAGTCTCCTGGGGAAGAGGACCCAGGAGAGGTTGTCAGCAACCCAGTGGGGAGAGGGGGCATTTCCAAGCTGGTGCATCCCAAAGCTCATTTCAAACGTGACACTAAGTGGCCTCAATACAGATTCAGCTGAGGACCCCCAACCAAGGGAGAAATAAGAAATAAGGTGCCAACACTTTCTGAATCAGCCTGTGGTGTCTGGCACGAGACAGGACACTGTCCCCTTCTTGGGCCCTCAGCTGCAACAGCAGGAACCCTTCACTGTGTCTGCCCAAGCTGTGCCTGCCTCGGACCAGTTTCAAATCCAGGCAATCCATGTGGTCCCCACCTCCATGTGGCCCTCCAACCCTCCTGGGGCACCCTTTCCTCTGCGAGCCCTGCCAGGGGCAGGCTTCCACCCCACAGGTGCTAGGTCATGCGCCTACAGATCTCTGTGACACACGGTTATCTCCAGGCCTCCCCATCCCGAATTCTGATGATTCCCTTAGGTGTAGGATTGAGGTCTCGTACAGCGCCTCCGGCTGGGGTTTCCGAATAGGATGCTTCCTAAGCAATAGCCACCCTGTCTCCTATGGATAATGAGTTACTAGAATTTGCAGGAGAATCCATGTGGGAGAGTTTGTTTCTTTGACTTCCTAAATTTCTTGTCCCATTCCCCAAAAGCTGAGAGCCCTAGTCCCACTAGGCTGGGCTAGAAGGGGAAGTGGGAAGGGGAGCCTGGGGGCCACTAGAGGTGGGGTGGACAGACTGAGCCCTAGTTGTTGCTTCCTGCCTCTAGTCCCAGAGCACAGAATGAATCCACAGTACAAAACAAAACAAGAAACAGCTCCACCAGTGCAGCAGCAACGATACGGAATCCCTGAAGCATCACTGGTTTGCCAAGAAAGCACAGTGCGTGACGGGAAACAGGTGGCCAGGGGTCCCCAACCCAACCTCCACCCAACTTTGGCCAAGCTGCAGCCCAGAGGATGTGGCCCAACTGAAAGCTAGTCCAGAGCCCCAAGCTCCTTCCTGAGGGCAGGACTTGGCAAACCCCCAGCCAAGACCTTGTCCTGTCACTCCTGCCACAGCAGACCTGTCTGTGTCAGCCTGAGGTTTAGTGAGCTGCACTCTCCATTCTCCCAACTCAAAGTCCAAGCAGATGCCTGCCTGATGCATGGGTGGCTGCACAGCCCTCTGGCTCCTTCCTTGGAGCTGCTCACCCATAAGAGCCCAGAGCTCTCGGATCACAGCCTTTCAGGGACAGCAACCAATCTGCTGGCAGGAAGCCAGGCAGTTGGTCACAGACCTGGACAGCTGCCGCTCCTGGAGGAATGCACAGGCCCGGAGACAGCTGAGTCAACGTTGGCCTGGTACTGAGACTGGCTAGGGTCAGGGACCAGGTGACACCGTTTGTTCTTCCACCTGTCTGGGCAGGGTGTGCACTCACCAATGGCGGCCGGAAGGTGCATTGTGGCCGAAGCCTGCGAGGTGAATGCGCTGAAACACAGAGCCAGGGCTTCAGGGTCAGGGGAGTGGCACAGCAGCTGGGTCTGTGCCCCCACTGCAGCCTGAGCCCGCACTGTCCCAGTCCTGCTCGCCCTCTCCAAGGGCACATGGAGCAGGAGGCATTGAAGCCCAGGGACAGGCTGGACTGGCAGGAACTCCCTCTCTGTGCACCAGCAAGGGCGCAGGTGATGCTGACAAACAGAAATAGCGGAGTTGGGGTTGAGGGAAGCCCAGGTGGCCAGAGCCCTCCAGTACAGAGGATGGAGCCTGACCCACAAGGCCAGGTAAGCCAGGCCAGGACCCAGAGTGACACTGTCCACCGTCCAGTCTCGTCTCCCTGTGCATTCGCCTGCCCATCACATCCACACACTCCTCACCGCCCCCGAAGCTCCTTGTCGTCCCGAAGCCTGGCTTGGCTGGCAGCCAGCAGGTTCTGCAGGAGAGCTCTTGCTTCCTTCCAGGCAGCCGGGCCCAGGCCCATGAAGCTGTTGAGAGTTGACTAGGGCCAAACACAAAAAGATCACACACACAGGAGAGCACCAGGGTCCCATCCTGGCCAGGGCCACTGGATATCCTGCCAGGCTGTGCCACTCCATCTACATCCATGTAGATGCTCCAGACCCTTGCTCTTGCTTTTGTCACTTATGTGTAACACTGGAGAAAGCCATAACCTTTCCTGACACTGCTATATCCCCTCCAAGACCCCCACACAACTGCCAAAGTCCAGGGCTGTTCCTCCCAGTGAGGCCACGCCAGTATGAGGGGTACAGTGGGTTGAACGGATCCCCACCCATCCATAAGTTAATTAGGAAGGCGTCTGGGTGCCAGTGAGGAGCGGCAGCCAGCACTGTGGAGGCTGAGGGTCAGGGCTCCAGCCCCAGCCCTATACTTCTTATGGGAGAAGCTAAGAGGATGGCATCTCATTCCAGATGCTTGGGGTCTCCACACATCTAGTGACAATTCCAATCTCTATGTCAGAAGGACTGAAGGAGAGAGGATGTATAAAGCTCCGGGCACACAGAAGGACCTCACTAATTATCCCTCTCCCTCCTGCCATGTGTCACAGATAGATGGGTGTCAAAGCAGGGAAGCTCAAAGCCACCCCACGTGGACATACAAGCCAGGCTGACTCCTTACTGTCCTGTAGACCTGGAGTCCAGGGCTCCTGACTCCCTGCTACACCCTGCCCTAAGAAAGACCTTAGAGTACAGAGAACTGACCCCTCTTTTCACCAAAGGACCCACCTCCAAGTGAGGAGCCAGGTGAGGTGTCCCAAAGCTACTTCCTGCCAGCTGGTGGCTTTGAGAACAGCCTCACCTTGTCCCCATGTAGCCTGAGGCTTAAGGAATAATTGTTAGCAAAGGTGGAAGGAAAGATGGCAAGGACAAGCCATACATATCACAACGTCCTACCTCAGTGAAGACATCCTGGTGTTTGGTGAGGACAGGTCCAGTGAAAAGATGCTTAATGGCACTGAGGTCCAGGATCTGGTCTCCGATGGCCACACCAATCCGTGGCCGTGGCTGGGGAAAGATAGCACAGTCAACATTGAGAAAAGCCTCTGCAGGCCTTGGCTGATTTGGTCGGGAACCCATCTGCTGCATAGCCCATCAAGGGGGGTGAGGAACTCATCCTCGGCATCCCATCCCACTGCCTTCTCTACTCCAGCAATGAGAAGGTAAAAGAATTGGGAAACTTCACTGGGAAAAGAATCTACCATGCCTTCGGGTGGGAGAACAGTGAGCTTGGTCCCTGGCCCCTTACCAGACCAGGGTGCTCTACAAAGTTCCCCAAGCTCTAAGCGACTTCCAGCAGCAATGAGTTCACCACCCTACTGGGCAGCTAGATGGCCTTCCCAGCCTGACTCGGCCTTTGCTCAGGGCCACTGCATGAGCTGCACCACAGTGGGTGCCCCATGCACAGTGCTGAAGGCCAGGTGGTGTGGGCTCCAGGCTTGCTGTGGCTCAGCAGAGGACAGCCCAGGTTGCCGAGGGCTGCACCAAGCCAGACTGCTCAGGCCACATCAGAGAGGCTCCTTTCTGCCCATACAACCCAGCATCAGTATCTGCAGCTCAAATATCTGGCCAAGCCTGGTTTTTGACCCTGCAGCCCTGGGCTTTGCTGGTCAATAGTGAGCCAGAGAGTGAGCCTGCAGACTCCACTTCATGGGGCCCTGGCCTGAGACAGGCTCATGGAGCTGCAAACCACCAGTTTTGCCAATGTGTTTCCAGGGAGCAGAAAGGCCTGATCTCCACTGGCTGCTCAGCCTGATGGGCTGAGAGGAGGTGGTCATATCCTCACACATCATCCTGGACCAGGGTTTCACAGATCCACACCTTTCTGTGGCATAGCTTGCCTGGACAACCTGGCAACTCCTCCCGGCTCTACTAACTCCCTGGACTCAGTCTGCCCCTCTGGAAAATGTGGTACAGGGCACTGGGCTCTGCCCCCTGGATCCAGTGGTGTCCACTCAGGCAACGGGCAGGGCAGACCCCGGGTCTAACTCTCTGACCTTAGGCCACACACTTGGCTGAAGGCAAGAAGGGGTTGCTACCCCTGAGTATGTCCCAGGTCAAATGGCAGCAAGGCTGCCTGTACCATCAGATGTGAACAAGGCCTAGGAGCTTCAGGTGGTAAACTACCACCCTTGTGCACTACACTGTGATCTGAAGACCTGGGAAAACAGTTCAAGAGACCGAGTCACTTTCCTTTTAAGAATATGCCCATTAGTACTAGACCAGAGGTCTCCCAGGTGCATCCAGCTTCCTTGGGGTCCTAGCCTGGACTTAGGTCATATCTGATATAAAGTTGTACAAAGTAAAGCTCTAATTCCCAGCCATAGTGGGGCACTGCAGGGACAGCCTTACAGGAAGTCTGCACAGCTGAAAGTTCTAGGCCTGTAGAAGGCCAAAGGGAACAATTCTCCATGCCAGCCCTCTTAGCAGAGGGCAGAGGGGAGGGGCACTGTCCCCCAAAGTCCTCTTGGCTGCCTGCAACATTCCAGCGGTGAAGCAGCAGGCTGGTGTTTGAAGGCCTCTCAGCCATTCACTTGGGCCCTCATTCTGGATTTCCTGGGACAGCAAGTTAAGCAAGAGGAAGCCTGCCTCCACTCTTCTGTCGGATCAATGTGTGCTCCCAGGAAGGGCAAAGACAAAGGGCAAAGGGCTGGCAGAGGTGGATCCTGCCATCAGAGAGAGGCTGGCTGGGGAAGTGTGCATGTTCCCCCAGGCCTATTAACATGCTGCACTCTTACAACATCTGGTCAGGCCTGCCAGTTATGAAACCACTCTCTGACTCTAGCAGACCAAGATGTGCACTGCAGGCAGGCCACAGAGGCCAGAGTGGGGGTGGTGGTCAGCTGGAGGAAGAGACCCCACTTTCCTGGAAGGGGCCAACTGCCAGGAGATCCAAACAGATTCTGGGGTTCCATGGCCTACAGAACTATCAGGGCTTGGGGGGGGGCAGAAATCTTAACAAGAAATACCACCGACGATGAAGATCTGCTCTTCCCACCCTGGGTCTCTCTTGTAAACTTGCTGGTATAGCCTCCCCCCCACATACCACCACCACAACCCGTTGTAAAAGATTTCTTTCTAAAAGTTCCCTTCTCTGCTCCCAAGGGCTCCTGAATGGCAAGGGTGTCATGCACACTCCATTTCACTTGTATTCACCGCTCCACTACCTTGCAGAAACAGGCTAGGAGGACAAATAACCTGAGCAGCCGCAAA